TCATTTCTGGCTGCAAAGCAACAAAATGGGATTATTTTAAAGGGGGGTGCTTCTTTTCTATACCCACTGTACATACACACACACACACACACACATACATGCATACATACATACATACATACATAATACACACACACACACACATATACATGCATACATACATACATACATAATATACACACACACACACACACATATATATGTATATATATATATATATATATATATATATATATATATATATATATGTGTGTGTGTGTGTGTCATTTTAGTGTGTTAATTTAATTAACTAGTCAGGTAAAAAAATTACGCAATTAAAATATTTTAACACAATTAACACACTCTCCCCAAACCTACGTCATCTTACATTTCATACAGTTGACTGTTAACAAACATGATGCAGGGCAACAACTCAATGCGTGATGTAGCCTATAAAATGCAGTTATATGCCCTTAAATTAAACATTACATTAAACCAGGGTTTCCCAAACTGGCCTTAATGTAAGAACTGCAGTGGGTTTGTGAGTTGATAAAAAGCTAATAATTAAATAGAACATTGCATATTAATATTGAACTGTAAACATGCAATTGTGTTATTAAATTATAGAAATATTAACTTCCTCAGAGATATTTCAAGAAAATATTTCATGTCAAAGTGGTTTGACTGGCAAAAATAGTTGGGAATTGTTTCATACATGGTCTGATTGCTTGAGCGGTACTTCACACCCACCAGCAGCAAGAGTGAATCCACGTTTTAAACGAACTGGGTAAACCGATGATTCAATGGCCCATTCAAAAAGAGAGCCATTTACTTAATACCTGAATGAATCAGCAGTTTGAACGAATGGAATTAATGACTCAATGACTTACTCATAATGACGTTTAATGCCATCTACTGGCAGTTTATTATTAAGAATAGTATTTCATAATAAAAAAAGTGATAGTAGAATAAAAATTCTGTCATAATTTGCTCACCCTCATGTTGTTTCAAACCTGTGTCACTTACTTTCTTTTATGGATCATAAAAGAAAATAATGAAGAACGTTGGTCACCAGAAGAAACAAAGAAGAATGTCGGTAACAAAGCTGATTTTTTTCCCTCATAACATTCCTCATAAAAAAATAAACTATGAAATGAAAAGTTGAAATTAGAACATACAAAGTCATAATTATAATTTCAAATTTATATCTCATGAGATTTAAGCGAGATTAAAATAATGAGATTAAGACTTTATCTTGTAATTATGACTTGGTATGTCATTTCCAACTTCTCATAATTACGACTATTGAGTATCTAATTATTTTTGACTTTTTACAGTATCATTAATGATTTACCAAAGCATGATTTTTTTTCTTATGTGGCAAAACTGGGCTTCCATACAAATAGCAGTAAAATAGAGCAAAAGTTTCAGCAAAGTTTAGATTTCAACCCTAAACTCTAATGAAATGCTGAATCTAAGCCAAAAAAAATAAAAATAAATCTATGTCAATGTGAGATTATCAAACTTGAACCAAATAACAAATGTAACAAAGTCTGCACATTGAGCTGTTTGGGCTGAATTCATTCCAGAAGTGTAATATTTTCTTTAAAGGTTCAGAACAAGCCGTAACCAGAATGTCTGAGGAATATCACCACAGGGACGCCTTGCAAGCACTGTTAAAAAGATGTTCACATTTTAACTTTCACATTTTTATTGAAAACCACACAATGAAAAGATGGTGCTTCAGCTTCAACCATCAAAACTCTCTAGGAGTAAAACAAAAACTCCAGTAACTGGAGTCGAGTCCAAGCACTGTTGATGTCCTGAAGGCTAGAGCAAAACACACTCTCACACTCCATGCCTCCTGCAAAAGTGAGCCACAGATCTGTCACAACATAGACCTGCAGAGACATTACCCTTTTGTCATAGCGGTTCAAGAACAGCTCTGTGTTCCAGCTGGCATTTGAGCTGCCAAGTATTACAAGCGGAAGCTCTGCTTCAGCAGGACACATCTACATTCACCCGAGATTTGGCTGAGACGCTTCGTGACAGCTCTCCTTTGCTCGCCCCCTTGACACAACCCCATCCTTCCTCTGGTTCAGAAGAGCACAAGTCTTGACTGCTAAGTCACTGTCTCTCTCTCACAGCCTGTTTTCCAGGTTTCCCTTTCATATTTAGTCCTTCTCCCTTATAGTAAATTCATGTCCATCCTGGTCTCAAGGTCTTAACTCTTTCTCCCACTGCTACATTTTGTATCTTTGACCTCTGGTAAACCTCCTGGGTGATGCAGACAGACACAGAAGATTTGGTATATAGAACCAGACTAACAATCTTTGAAATAGTAACCATGGTCTGCAATGTGCTTCTCCAGAGATCTTGTACAGCATTTATGTTCCTTGAAGCTGCCTTCTTTACTAAAACTTCTTATATGAAGTTCAACATGGTCTATTGTGGGCAATTCAGCAGGACATAAAGGCTGTAAGTCACAATCCACAATGAAATACTAGAAAGAAAAATTTGAACAGGAAATAGGTTAGGTTTAGTTTAGAAGACGCAGTTTGAGCTACAAATATTGACAGTTAAATTAAAAAGTGAGTCACAAATATAGAAATATTCTGCAGCTGTGTTGCTTCTTTTCTCAGCATGAGGCCGAGTTGTGAAACTCTTTTCCAAAGCTTCAGCGATAACCTGCTGGCTTCTGAGAAAATGTTGATGGAGGATAGTGGAGCTTCAGCCCTCTCTAGTGGTGTTTTAGTGAAATTATCAAAGATGATCTGGCCAGTATCTCCAATGATGACAATAGACTACTTAGTAGCATGCTCTTCTGGACCCTAATTCTGCTGCTAGTAGAAAATATATTTTACCAAAGAATCAGAACAAAAAATATTTAAGACAATTAAGGTATTTTCTCTCTCTCACTGTTGTTGCATTATTTTCATGACAATGAAGTACACATTAATGAAATGCAAATAAATAAATCACTACAATATATTTAATTCATTATAGTAGGTTATGCTAACCTAATTAATTAATTAATTAACTTACAGTTTTATTCAGCAAGGGGATATGAAATAAATAAAAAATTACAGTAAAGACTTTTACATTGTTACAAAATATTTGTTTCAATTATTATTATTTTTATTTCTATTCATCAAAGAATCCTGAAAAAAATGTATCCTCAATGTATTGCATAAAAAAAAACATTAAATAGTACAACTGTTTTCAAAATAATAATACGTGTTACTTGAACATATTAGAATGATTTATGAAGGACCATGTTGTCATCCATCTACAAAAAAAAGTGATTTAAAATGTATTACATTTTAAAATATCATTTATTTATTTTATTTTAGGCAAATAAATGTAACTTTAGTGAGCATGGGAGCCCTTTTTCAAAACCAAAAACAAATCTTACTGATCCCCATATTTTAAATGGTAATGCATGTAATAATCTTTTTAACAACTTTCTGTATTCGAGAAATGAAAATATAAAGACAACCACCCTTGAAAATAATGTAAATTAGAACATCACAGGAATTGACAGTAAATAAATAGATTTATTAAAATGCCTGAAAACATTACAGTAATGAGAAATTGTGGTTAGAAAATGTACTTAATTATCATAAATAAATAAATGTATTGATGTTAAATGCAGCCTGTTAAGATTTCTGTAAAGGAGTGGAAATGACTGTCAGGTTTACAGTCAGTGAGGGCATAGGATACAGGGTCATACAGCTTTTATAATTCCATGTTTTATGTATGTCAGTGAGAAATATGCATTAGGGGCACTTGCTAACAATGTTTATACCTGGGTCATAAAAAAGGAATGACAAATCGTGCTCAGTATTCAAAATGTCAGAAGTTTAATGTAAAATATTTCACATTATAGGTCTTGAGACTACCCTATGGCCTGGCAAAGAACCTGCACAATGATTTCAATTTAAATCCAACTGTGGGCAGATTTGGGCAGGAAGGAGGTGGGAGGAGATCAGGCCAAGCTTGTTTGGAAAAACATAGAAACATGCCAAGTCAGTGGGGACTGTCGGATGCATGTTCTGCATAAGCGGTAATGTGTTATAGGCAAACACAAACTCGCAGTGCTGTATATCTGCATGCAAACTCTCACAGATGGGTAAAGCGTAGACAAGCTGACAGCTTGAGGCATTATATTTGAAAACAAACTCCTTTTGACAACATGGAGGTGAAAGTTGTATCCAATTACTCTCGAAGAGCATCGCAGAAGCAACATGACAAATATTTGTGCATATTCTCCCACATACACACCAGCCTGAAGGAGGAAATAGTGTTTCAGCCCACTGCACTCTCAGCTACTTTGTCCTCGTGTCCATTGTGAGCCTTTGAAATAGATACAAAAATCAGGTCTTCTTCCTGCTCCCATCTTTTCCCTCTATCTGTGTGGATATCTGCACTTATTCATTTCCAGCTTTATGATACTGAATGTTCTGAAAACATGTGACACATAAAACTTTCCTCCACCCTTTGGAGGAATGTTGTTTTTAGCTTTTAGTCTGGTTTCTAAATATACCACTAGCTAATAAACATTTTCAGATTGACTGCTTTTTGTTCTGAAGTTTTTAGTTTTGATTTTACTCCCTCTGCTTTTGCGGGGGTTTTATTTATTTTTGTAACACCATAGCTATTTTTATGTATGACAGTATAACGAAAGAATAACCAACTTTATTCCGGATACACCATAAATGTGGCATGTCAAATATCCAATAAAAAAAATATTGAAAATGTAGTCTAGCTTTATGAAAATTTAGTTAACACAGCAATACCACTAGAGGATGATGACTCTACATTTCTATACTAGAACAATGTTATTTCATGCAAAGCACGTCTCTTATTGTAGTGAGCAAAGACACACACACCCACATACACACCTATAGATACACACACACACACACCTATAAATAAACAAAAAATTGCAGTCCTATGAACTTCTTTGAAGTTTGTTTAGTTTTAAAGCAGTCTGAGTAACTTTATTAAATGCTCCCCATGTTACACAAAACTAATTACAATAGCAAATCCCCTACTGTAGAGTTGAAGCATAAATAATGATGTTTCATTCATCGTCATCATCATTCAGTTTAACACTTTCATTTGGTTTCATTTGACAAACTCAGGTGAGTGTAGTCATAGATCTGGCACAGCCTTCCAGCAAAATCAAGTCTGTCTAGATTGTCAAACGAAGGCAGAGCTTTTCCTTTTGATTCCAGTGCGGTACAAACAGCTCAGACTGAACCTCTCCGACACCTAAAAAGGTAAGGGACACATAGGATTTATATATTCTCAAACTAAAAGGGAAGTTGTATTTATTTATTTATTTTTTATAAATCATTGTCATTATGATACGGATCAAGACTCGCTTAATTTAGTACAGCGCATACATGTAGATTCATTGTTTTAAAAAAAATCTGATGTTGATTTGTTTATTTGTATTAGTAAGTGCTAACGTGTATACTTTAACTTAAACTACTGTAAGTTCAACTTAAGCACATGTTGTGCTTTACATGCACATATCTGTAAATGTAAATGACAATACTACTGGCTAGGGAGTTTCCTGTAATAAGATTATGCGTCAAGAGAACAAGAAGATATTCAAACTATGAGAACTATTTTATTGTCTAAACAACTCGATACTGTTTTGAACACAATGCTGTTGCAAAATTAATCCATGGTAAATCTATTCACTATTGTGAATACTGCAAGCAGATCTATAATGACGATTGATGACAATTAAAGAGAAGTACAATTAAATACATAAAAGGTACAAATTTCTTGCTTTACTTTGAAAACGCAGCTTATAGGCCGCTGTAAAATAATCTAAACAGAAAATGAAACCTCGCTAAAATAAGCCCTTAATGCTACTTTTAGAAACTTTTTATTTAGCAATTTCTTGACATGTCATCCTTGACATATGCTTCCATAAAAATCTTTTTTTTTTTTTTTTAAAGAAAGTCTGTCTCTCTCTCGAGCTTTCTACCTCTCTCGCTTTCTAAAAAAAAAAGAAGATTTATTGTGAAACCAAGTGAAGAAGAAACCAAAAGATGTTTAGCAGGGGAATTCTGCTAGCAGAGAATAGTTATAGCTCATAAACTTATTATAAATTGATAACATTAAAGTATTAGATACATATATAATACATAACTTTTTAACAGTGTGCAAAAAAGTCATATCACATAAAAGAGACTCACTGAATTAATTATAGTATTTAGCCATTTTGAAATTACTGGCATTGGCCAATAACTTCTTTGAAGTTTGTTTAGTTTTAAAGCAGTCTGAGTAACTTTATTAAATGCTCCCCATGTTACACAAAACTAATTACAATAGCAAATCCCCTACTGTAGAGTTGAAGCATAAATAATGATGTTTCATTCATCGTCATCATCATTCAGTTTAACACTTTCATTTGGTTTCATTTGACAAACTCAGGTGAGTGTAGTCATAGATCTGGCACAGCCTTCCAGCAAAATCAAAAGATGTTTAGCAGGGGAATTCTGCTAGCAGAGAATAGTTATAGCTCATAAACTTATTATAAATTGATAACATTAAAGTATTAGATACATATATAATACATAACTTTTTAACAGTGTGCAAAAAAGTCATATCACATAAAAGAGACTCACTGAATTAATTATAGTATTTAGCCATTTTGAAATTACTGGCATTGGCCAATTAAAAAAAAAAAAGTTTGTTAATGTTTTGAAAATAATGTAAGACAAGTATTTATTTAATTTAGGCAACTTTACCATTATCAAATTTGCTGTCATTAAATGATTGCCGGCATTAAATCATACAAACCTGGTCTAAGATTAGGCATGCACCAATATTACAATATATTAATATTGAATATTGAATAAATTATTTGTAAAACATAAAAAATTTCAATCAGTTACAAGACACAAGTGTATTAAAGCAACACATTATAATGTACATTATAAAAAAATAATATCTATTTTGATATTTGATAAAGATTACATTTAACAGTTTTATTAAATTATTATTCTTTATAAAGATTACCTGTGATTGAGCATTGGTTATCATGATGGCAAAGGTAATAGAACTTACAAAAACCACGTACAATTCAATTTCAAAGAATACAAATATAAACGTGTTAACCAATATGATTACTGTGGATTCCTGTGTCCCAAACTGCCATTGAACTAATTTATATATTCATGTTTATTTTATTTTTTAATTATATCTATTTTGATATTTGATAAAGATTACATTTAACAGTTTTATTAAATCATTATTCTTTATAAAGATTACCTGTGATTGAGCATTGGTTATCATGATGGCAAAGGTAATAGAACTTACAAAAACCACGTACAATTCAATTTCAAAGAATACAAATATAAACGTGTTAACCAATATGATTACTGTGGATTCCTGTGTCCCAAACTGCCATTGAACTAATTTATATATTCATGTTTATTTTATTTTTTAACAGGATTAACATCCTGGTATGAGTAAGACAACTGTTTGTGGTGGCAGACATGAACTGGTTGTCCCTACAAGTCCTGCTTGGCGGGGTCAGCCAGTACTCCACCGTGTTTGGTCGTGTCTGGCTATCTGTGGTGTTTGTCTTTCGAATCCTGGTGTTTGTGGTGGCTATTCAGCAGGTGTGGAGTGATGAGCAGAAAGATTTCATCTGCAACACCGCCCAGCCGGGTTGTACTAATGTCTGCTATGACAATTTTTTCCCCATCTCCCACATCCGTCTATGGGCTCTCCAGATCATTTTTGTCACTTGCCCGTCTCTCATGGTTGTGGCTCATGTAAAGTATCGTGAAATGAAGGATGAGAAGTACATCAATGTCCACAAGGGTGAACACCTGTATGTCAACCCAGGGAAGAAGCGTGGAGGGCTATGGTACACCTACATACTCAGCCTGGTGTTCAAAGCTGGCTTTGATGCAGGCTTCCTCTATATTTTGTACTTCATTTATCATTTCGACATGCCAAGAGTTGTCAAATGCACAGAGGAACCTTGTCCAAATAAAGTTGACTGCTACATCTCCCGTCCTACAGAGAAGAAAATCTTCACCTTCTTTATGGTGGTCACTTCTTCACTGTGCATCTTCATGTGTATCTGTGAGATATTATATCTGATTACCAAGAAAATTCGCAAATACCTGCTCAAACAGCATGAACACAACACCATCACACAGCGTAATTACAAAAGGGTGGATCCAACGGCCTCATCCAACCAGAATCTCAGTAACTTTGAAAAAGCAAAGGCCACACCAGGGGAGAAGGATTCAGAACCGGCATAATTATCGTCTTAACTGACTGTGGAACAAGCAAGCATTATAAACAGTAGTAAGACACACTGTACCTTGCTAATAATATAGATAATCCAATCATGCCAATACACCAAAGGAATATTGCATTTAAAATATTTTAAGGAATTTTTATGGTGACAATAACATAGGACTAATTCTGAATGTCATATTTTCTTATATGTAATCATTTAAATGAAAAATAAGGTAATTAGGGTGGTATTCTTGAGTCTCATCCACTAAAGGAGCACACTGCCCCCTAATGTACAGAAAACAGACCCACTTCAGAGAACAACATGGTGGGGAGGAGACCATAGTAAGCATCCTGTTCCTGGCCTAATACAGTAAATGAATAAGTGTCCACACTTACTAAAGTCTGAGATCGTCCACAAAACATTGATCAACGGCTACAGGACACTCAGAGACTCTTGAAAGCTGGACTGCCCAATAACCTTGGGAAGTCTTTACATTTTGCACATCAATACTTTTATGATTTGCTTAAAACTAATTTAATATTTCATGTACATGCACTGTGTAGTAATAATGTTTACAGAAATCATGTTTTCAAGTATCCCATTGCAAACACATCCTTTATTGTGTTTGTCCTTGTTTATTTTGCACATACTGTACTTCAAAGTAAAGCACTACCAAATTCTATGTAATACTAAATAAAGCATAAATGAGCACACCATATCTGAACATAAATATATATTTCTATTTCTAAATTATCACTATTACAATTCATGGGAATATGGCAAAATGTAAATGTATTAAACATACAATAAAAACCTCAATATCAATATCTGCAAAATAAGTAAATTGTCCAATTTTGCCTAAATAAAGTGCTGCAGAAATGAGTATACCCCTGATTAAATTAAAACGTGTAAAATTATGTAGTATGTCCTCTATAACAAAAGTTTACTGTTCTTACCCTTTTTGGTACCAAGTGCACAAATTCTTAACAAATTGTCACATTTTTCCAGTTTAACTACTGAAGGATGACCTCTTTGAGTGCCCTGATCTTTAATGGTGTTGCTTAACTTGTCTTTACAAAATCCCCCAGAGGTGCATGAGAGTGTCGGGTGCAATACTTGTCCAGTGCAGTCATTGTATCACTATTTAAGAACTTTACTGGACCTCACTCTGGGGACCAGGCACTTCTCACTGTACTGTCTCCCCCTTGTGACACTATTTTGAATGCTATTAGATTCAAAATGATTAACTTGGTCTCATGAGACCAGATTATGGATTTCATTTTGTTAATATGGGCTTTGGAAAGGCTACATTAATTTCTTGTGCTTTGGCTACAGTAGGACTTTCCTGTGTTGACAACAACCAGGCATTTTAGTGCTGCAAGTTGCATATACTGTGCGAGATGAAACAGTCACATCCATAGCATTTGCCAGCTCTGGGACACATTTTCCAGCTCTTTTCTTAGCAAAAATCAAAATCACCCATCACAAAATGAAAGTGAAGGCTTGATTATTTAAAATTCTGTATATTGTGTGGGAGGTATAACTTAATATTGATATGCTTTTTGATAAATTATATAAAAAAAAAATAAAAAAAAATAAAAAAAATGTAAAAAAAAATATATATAATATTTTATATGTGTGACAATAAAGAATGAATAACCAACTTCATTCCAGATGCAACCTAAATGTGGCATGTCAAATTTCCAAAACAAAATATTGAAAATGTTATCCTATAGTATTTTATGTGAATTTAGTTATTGCAGCAATATACAATGATGTATCTACTGCTTCTATAGAAGAACAATGTTATTTCGTGCAAAGAAGCACTCCGTAAGGAGTGAAAATATCATACACACAGACCTATAAATAAAATAATTCCAATCCTGCAAATTTCTTTGAAGTTGTTTAGTTTTAAACAAAAGTCCCCACAGGTGAGTGCAAGCAGAAATTATGATGTTTTGTTAGTTTAACATTTTCATTTGATTTAATCTGACAAACTCTGTCACAGCCTGCAACTAATCAAGTATGTCTAGATAGTCAAACAAAGGCATAGCTATTTATTTTTATTCCAGTCAAGTACAAAGCCTCATACCTCTTAGAAACCAAAGGTAAGGACATACATGACATAACTCTGCTCAAACAATACAGGGTGTTTTTAAATAACTGCCACTATGATATGGATCAAGACTCACATCAGTTAGTAGAGAAACAAAAAATCATAGAAAAAAAAACTGATGTTGCCTTGATTTTTTATTTATTTTTTGTATTAGTAAGAGCTAACTTAAAAGGGTCATATGATGCGATTTCAATTTTTCCTTTCACTTTGGAGTGTTACAAGCTCTTGGTGCATAAAGAAGATCTGTAAAGTTGCAAAGACTAAAGTCTCAAATCCAAAGAGATATTCTTTATAAAAGTCCAGAGTCAGCCACTCCTACCTAAAACGGCTCATTCTAAGACGCCCCCACATATCTACATCACGATGTGGGAAGATTTGCATAACGCCACCCACATCTTCACGCAAAGAAAGAAGGTGTAACTTTTATTCTCGCTGTAGTATTGTTGTTGCCGCCGCCATGTCGTGAAGGCACTGTGTGTTTTGTTGTGAAAGCGAAACTACTTTGTTTGGCCTTCCAAAAGAGGACGATATCGCTTCGCCATGCCTGGAGCTGATCCGTGCTGGTCGTTGAGGAAATACTTCAACTTCGCGCTGTCACCGTGGACGAAGCGGAGTCCAGCCCGGGGTTTTATTTGACATGTGGTTGCCGCAGGCATCACAATATGGTAAGGGACGTAACATTTCCGTCACATGCTTGAGGAATTTGGCCAATCATAACGCACTGGATAGCTGGCCAATCAGAGCACACCTCGCTTTTTCAGACCGATGAGCTTTGTAAAAATACACAAAATAATGTTCTTTTTAGCAACATCATATGACCCCTTTAAACTTTGAGTTCAGACAGGCATATCTGCTACATTTTAATGGCTCTGGATTTTTTTTGTAAAATGGAAATTCATCGAGAACGAGGTATACAAGCTATGTAAACTGTTTCAATGCCTAATTTTATTTGATTAGTAGGCTAATTATAATAGTGGCTTGACAGTGTTGTAAACACAATGCTGTTGTAAACTAACAAGACACTTTCAATGGTAATTGTACGTGTGAATGCTAAACACAGACTTATGACAAATAATTAACTTTAAGTTTGCTACTGATATTGGGCAGAAAGTATCAGAAAATGAAAGCCTCAGCATCTCAATGCTGCTTTTATAAAGTAACTGTATTCATGCCATGAAAAAAAAATACAATTAAAAAAGAAAAAGTAAAAAAGACAACCGCTTTAACGATAGTTATATTTAGGTGCCTTACAAAGAAAAGCTACAACAGTGTTGCCTATGCCTAAAGGCCATTCTGCTCCTGAACACAATAAGCAACGTAGTGAAACTGAAGAAACCAAAAGGAAATTTACCTACCTACCTATAAATAACCAAAAATAATGTATTAAATGCATCTACTGTACTAGTATATAATGTTTAAACAGTATGAAAAAAAGAAAAGAAAAGAAACATTGCAGAAAAAAAATGTCACTGAATGGATTGGTGACTGATTTATTGACAACTAAGGCTGATCAATCATCCAGTTTTTTAGTAATTTTGAAATGACTTGCATCAGCCAAAGTGATCAATGTCAAAATCAATTAATGTGACATAAGTACATGTGAAAATAAATAAATAAATAAATAAATTAAATAAATATTTGTGAATGTTAAAGGGGTCATATGATGCGATTTCAAGTTTTCCTTTCTCTTTGGAGTGTTACAAGCTCTTGGTGCATAAAGAAGATCTGTAAAGTTGCGTGGTTGCGTGGTTTCAGGAACAGCAGTAGTGTTGATGCAAGCCATGTCAGGGAGATGCTGTGTGTTTCAGTGCGAAAGCAAAAGCACTTTATTTGGCCTTCCGGAAGTACTGTAGATGCAATTAAGAATCATTGGTTAAGATTTATTTACAACAGAACAGCACAACCCAGATGTTTGAATTTGTGCAACGCATTTTATGGACGACAGTTTTTTGAACCTAGAAGAGTACAAGGCTGGCTGTGCACAAAGGCTATTTCTAAAAAAAAAAAGAAAAAAAAGGGTCAATTCCGACATTGCTAGGGCATTCTGGAGCTTCTGAATCAGCGTCTGTATCTTTAAAATAGCATCATATGACCCCTTTAAGTAAATATCGGGTAAAATAAGCATTCATCCATCAAACCAAATTGTATCAACTTTTTTTGCTAAATTGCATTTTGTTTACATCTGCGTGTGACCGCATGACAATTAGGTCATCTTGGTTATAAATTAGAGATTCACCGATATTACAATTCTGCCTGATAGCAATAGGCCAATTCACGTTTTTTGGCCAATAACTTATAAATAGTAAAGAATAAAATTGTATACAATGTTGTTTAAATACTAAAACACTTAAATAATAAAAAATTAAATCAGTCATTTTAAATGCTAAAGATAATGTATGGCATCACGAAAATTACAATGTATAGTATGAAAAATTAATATGCTTCCTAAAATTTGCTAAAGTTTACATTTAGAGGTGTTATTAAATTAGTGTTTTTGAAGATTATCTATAAGTGAACAGTAGATTGATGGCAAAGTTCATCTAAATTTTAAAAAAGAGGAAATAATCATATACAATCAAATACCCAATATTGACAGACATCAATGAATAATAATAATAATAATAATAATAATAATAAATCTCCAATATCATCCAATAACAGATATGGTACTGATATAAATGCTCTATGGTTTTTTTTTGGCAAGACTAGTATCTTGGTATAAAAAAAGGTGTAGTATGATGAACGGCAATAATTCATCTGTGACACCACCCAGATAGGCCGTACAATTAGTGTTTTTGAAGATTATCTATAAGTGAACAGTAGATTGATGGCAAAGTTCATCTAAATTTTAAAAAAGAGGAAATAATCATATACAATCAAATACCCAATATTGACAGACATCAATGAATAATAATAATAATAATAATAATAATAATAAATCTCCAATATCATCCAATAACAGATATGGTACTGATATAAATGCTCTATGTTTTTTTTTTGGCAAGACTAGTATCTTGGTATAAAAAAAGGTGTAGTATGATGAACGGCAATAATTCATCTGTGACACCACCCAGATAGGCCGTACTAATGTCTGCTACGATCAATTTTTCCCCATCTCCCACATCTGTCTATGGGCTCTCCAGATCATTTTTGTCACTTGCCCGTCTCTCGTGGTGGTGGCTCATGTCAAGTTTCGTGAAATGAAGTATGAGAAGTACACCAATGTCCACAGTGGTACACACCTGTGCGCCAACCCAGGAAAGAAGCAGGGAGCCTTGTGGTACACCTACATACTCAGCCTGGTGTTCAAAGCTGGCTTTGATGCAGGCTTCCTCTATATTTTGTACTTAATTTATCCTTTTGACATGCCAAGAAATTTAAAAATGCACTGAGAAACCTTGTCCAAAATACAGTTGGGCTACATCTACATGCTACATCTCCCATCCTACAGAAAAGAAAATCTTCACCTTCTTTATGGTGGTCACCTCTTCTGATTACCAAGAAAATTTGCAAGTGCCTGCTCAAACAGCAAGACTATTACAGAAGGGTTGCTCCAAGAGTCTCATCCACTCAAAACAGCAGCAACATGCACACTGTGCACGTGTACAGAAAACATAAACCATAACAACACGGTGGGAGGAGCCCACAGTAAGCATCCTGCCCCTGGCCTAATACAATAAATGAATGCCAACGCTTATTAAAGTCTGAGATCGTCCACATAGCATTGATTAACTGCTAAAGTACACTCAAGAGTCTCTTGAAATCTGGGCAGCACTTACCTTGGGAAGTCTTTACATTATGCACATGAACTCCTCAATGATTTACTCATAAAATGCATTAAATGCTTCATGGACATGCACAAGTAAATCATGTTTACAGAAATCATGCTTTCACATATCCCAATTCAACAACACCCTTTTATTCTAGGTGCACATACTTTAAAGCACTAAATAGACTACTGCAAAGTACTAAATTACATCATTATTTTGTGTACACTATCAGGGTAGTTTGACTTAAACCAGTTATGACTCTTAATTTAAAGTACTTATTTACTTTATTTATTCATAGCATTACAGTTAACATTCAAACTTGGGCTTTACACCAGAGCCAAAGAATATAGGGCATTTATTTTTAAATGTCAGGTCAGGGCAAATTCTCACATTTACTGAGGAAGATTTTCAAATGTTTTAAATGGAGACAAGTATATCATTAATTGCAATATATGCAAACAATGTTTTGATGCCTTTTTAGTGTTGCTGCTATTAATTACACAACATTAATTGTTTTATTTATAATCTTGTTATGGTTTAAAAGAACGGATAAAAAGCATTTAATAATGGCAGGCTCCACTTATGACGACAATAATAACTCCACATAGTTTGACTTTGGTCAGTGTGTGTTTGTTTCTCTCTCTCTCTCTCTCTCTCTAAACATTTTCAGTATGTGTCTGTACAGAAACTGACAACAATAAAGTAAAAAAGTGTGACAACTAGCCCCAGTCTCCCATTTATATGAGGAAAGACAACATTTTATAAAAGCCAAGAAATGTCATGTACATCCTCAATCACTCATTAACAAGGTAGCACATATCGTTATTACCTCAATATAACAAGTTCCATCCTCCTCCAAATATGGTTTCCAAAACAAAACGTTTCACTATATAAACAGTGACTCACAGTTTCTGCTATGAGCAATTTTCAATGCTTTCACCAATCAGATCGAAAATACGAGGCTTCCTTTTGACAAACGTGAAAACGCACCAATCAGCTTCAGGAGGCGGGCCTTAATAAATACAGCCGAATCGCTCCGTTTGCTAAGATCCTCCGCGGAATGAGTTATCGATACGGACAGGTAAAGTCTGTTTTCCGGGTTTAGATATTTTACATATATATGTATCTTTTATGTCTATGTGATTCTTGCATATTTGTCTTGCGGTCTAAACTTTTAATGTTAGTGTACTGGGAAATTGTGCAGAATGATGTTCATTCTGATCGCGTGAACTTTGTAGAAACAGCCTTTTTTTTAGGCTAGTCGGTTAGCCCTGTAGCTAATATGAAACATTTAAGTGGTAACAGTTATTTGTGTGTCTGTTGAGAGCGAGCTGTTCAGTCATGTATCATAATGTAAAAATGACCATATGTTATGTTGAAGTATTGAAGTATGAAAGATGTTACGTCTTTATTTTACATAATGTCATACAAAATAGAGATGTAACTTACCTTAACCTTTACCATCTATTTATATACCGTAGTTTCTACAGTTATTGTGACTGGTGTAAAATCACAATAATAATAATAATAAAAGTATGAGTTTACAAGTATGACTCAGTATTATGTTATGGTACAAACTTCCGTGAAACACAAGAGAAGAAGACGTTACATATTCTCCAATCACTTTCTTTGTATGGGTGGGTGGGGGGGGGACATGCCTTGAAAGTGAATGGTGACTAAATATGTCATTCTGCTTAAAATATCTCCTATATTAATATTATAAATAGTATATTAAATCAGTATAGTAATAAAAGTAAAACTATATAAATGTTAGTATTCCACGGAAGAAATAAAATCATACAGAATAACATGAGGTTGAGTAAATGATGACAGAATTCACATTTTTACCTAAACACTTTAATTTGATTATAACCCTATATTTATTGTTTTGGTGACATATTTGCTGTTGCTTATGCCATTTAACCGCATCTAATTCTCTGTTGGTGTTTTATTTTACAGTTTAGCATTTCAAGTTACTCATGTTTATTGCAATACAAACTGGTCATTATTTGGTTTTGAAAGGGTTATACGGGAGCAGGTGGTAACACTCCCCAGCACCACCCGCCTCCTGGGGCACCGTATGGAGGTGGTCCCACTGGTGGACAGTATGGTTCACCTTATGGCGGTGCCCCTCCAGGGCAGCAGTATGGTGGCGGGGCTCCATACGGGTCTTATGGTCAACCTGGTCCAAGAGCGCCGTATGGTGGGGGCCAAGCTCCAGGTGGTCCTTACGGAGGTTATGGACAACCCCAGGGTGGACCATATAGTCAGCAGGCACCTGCAGGTTAGAGACGTGTAACTCTGTTTTGTTTTCATTTGGCTGAGTATAATGTTGAGTATATTCATATATGTCTAAATTATTTTTATGTGTGTGTTTGTACAGTGGCCCCCAAAATAATTTTTAGACACGTAAGCCAAACTTAAGGATGTCATTACATTTAATAACTAAATAGCATTTATTTTAAAGATGGCGTAAACTGCATTACATCAGGTGTTTGAAAAAAATCCATATACATTTTTCAGTTTGATTTTAAATGTCAAAAAATTTATGAATTAAACTTTTATTCAGCAAGGACACAATTAATTGATTAAAAGTGACAGAAAATACGTTACCATTGAACAATTTTCTATTTCAAATAAATGCTGTTCTTTTGAAAGTTCTATTCATGACAGAATCCTGAAAAAAAAAGTACCACGATTTCCACAAATATATTAAGCAGCACAGCTGTTTTCAGAATTTATAATAATATGAAATGTTTCTTGAGCAGCAAATCACCATATTAAAATAATTTCTGATGGATAGTGTGACATTGAAGTCTGGAGTAGTGACTGCTAAAAATTCAGCTTTGCCGTCACATGAATAAATTGCATTTTAGAATATTAAAATAGAAAACACTTATTTTAAATTGTAATAATATTCACAACATTACTTCTGTCATTACGTTTAATCAAATAAATGCAGCCTGAATAATATACAGTAATTGAAGCAAATAAATGTGATCTTATGGGAATGTGATTATGGATTTGGAATGTAGAGGAATAGGAATGTGGTTTGGTATATAATATGTGACCCTGGACCACAAAACCAATCATAAGGGTGAATTTTTTAAAATATTTTTAAAATTTGTTTGTTAGGATAGGACAATATTTGGCTGAGATTATTTGAAAATCTGAAATCTGAGGGTGCAAAAAAAATCAAAATATTGAGAAAATTGCCTTTAAAGTTGTCCAAATGAAGTTCTTAGCAATGCATATTACTAACCAAAAATTAAGTTTTGATATATTTACGGTAAGAAATGTACAAAATGTCTTCATGGAACATAATCTTTACTTAATATCCTAATGATTTTTGGCATAAAAGAAAAATCGATAATTTTGACCCATACAATGTTTTTTTGGCTATTGCTACAAATATACCCCAGCGACTTAAGACGCTCAAGGTTTTGTGATCCAGGGTCACATATATAACTTTTCTTATCAGAATGTTTTCCACAGCTTCATACATCTGCAAATGCACTGTAATTAAATTTGTTTGTTAGGATAGGACAATATTTGGCTGAGATTATTTGAAAATCTGGAATCTGAGGGTGCAAAAAAAATCTAAATTTGAGAAAATCATCTTTAAAGTTGTTCAAATGAAGTTCTTAGCAATGCATATTACTAATCAAACATTAAGTTTTGATATATTTACGGTAGGAAATGTACAAAATATCTTCAAGGAACATGATCTTTACTTAATATCCTAATGATTTTTGGTATTTAAAGTTGTCCAAATGAAGTTCTTAGCAATGCATATTACTAACCAAAAATTAAGTTTTGATATATTTACGGTAAGAAATGTACAAAATGTCTTCATGGAACATAATCTTTACTTAATATCCTAATGATTTTTGGCATAAAAGAAAAATCGATAATTTTGACCCATACAATGTTTTTTTGGCTATTGCTACAAATATACCCCAGCGACTTAAGACGCTCAAGGTTTTGTGATCCAGGGTCACATATATAACTTTTCTTATCAGAATGTTTTCCACAGCTTCATACATCTGCAAATGCACTGTAATAGTTTTTGATCCAGCAGGTGAATTTGTCCACATTAGGGCTGCACGATAAATCGCATGCAATATTTAATGCGCAACTTGTCAGAAAGCCGGTTCTGTAATCAGCGGTAAATCTCCATCACCTGCGGGCTTTCACATTGAGCAGCTTTAACTACACAGAGCCGTTGTTCACTGACGAGCTGCGCAAAAAAAACGCTCGAATATGATCGTGGTTTTGCGCAGCTCGTCAGGAGTGGTAGGCAGTAGGCATGGGCTGATTACCGGTTTCAAGGTAGACCACGATTTGAAAATTTCACGGTTTCAAAACTAACGCTAATATTTTCTGTTCCTGCGGTATGCGCTATTTTTCATGCCTCCTCAAAGACTGAAAGTGTAGGAATCCCTCAGGTTGAGGTCAGTGTAGAGAGTGACACGACCCTCCTCCTCCTGTTGGTGCCAGCGAGCGGTCAGTCACATGTGTGTAGGATGGACGAACTTAAGGAGTTTCCCCTGGAACTCACGCGATCAGCAACCGGCCGTTTTTTGTCTAATTGCAAGCAACTCGTCTCTGTTCTGGACTTGCACAAACTGCGTTGCAATGCAATCGTTTTCCAAAATGTCATTTATGTGAAAATATGAAGTCTGTAAATGCAGTATACTTTCACAAAGCTAGTCAGAACATTCTGTTTTTGCTTCAAATTGGGTTATTATTAAATCAAATTATGTATATAAAATTATATAACTAAATGATATGAAATGATATAAATTATATGTATATGAATTATATAACTAATATTAAATAACCGTAATTACAGATTTAGGTTAAATAAATGTCAGTCTTTATTTTTCTTCTTTTTAGGAAGTAAATCAAAGAAAAAATAAACAAATTCTACTGTTCCTGTAATATTCTGTATGTTGCTCAAAAACAAAATATATTGTTTTGTTTTTTTACCCAGTCATTTAAAATTAACACATTTTAGAGCTGTAACAACAATACCGTGAAACCGTGATATTTTTGCTTAAGGTTATACCGTCAAAATCTCATACCGGCCCATGCCTAGTAGGCAGCAGCTTCAGGCCGGTTTGACTGATGATGTCTGAGTGTCAGGTTTGGCAGCTAAGACTGTCCGAGCCGCTGCCATTTCATCAGGCGTGCAGTGGCTGAGGGCTGTGAATAAAATACGAAAAAGAGAAATTTACGAAGGTGCTGCAGACAAGGTCCTTGATCCTCCTGCACTGCAGCTGTGTCAGATGCCCCTCACTGAATGACTTATGCTGATACACTGCAGGATGACAGTATACTTGTACTGATCTGGTACAGAATGTGCCCACGGGAGAATTAGAGTGATGAGTGTGGTGATTCTGAGTGAAGGGGTTCGTGTGTATGTGTCCTTCGGCATTTATGTCGGTAAGTATTTTGTAATGTCCTGTGGGAAAGGCTGTCAGATTCAAAGACTGTCCTCTGAACAGTGCTTATCCCTCCCGAGGGATACAGTGACTGTCTGTGCTTCACCAAATTGCACAACTTATTCTTGTCCCTCTTGGGATCGAGATGACACATCGCTGACAACCTAGGCTTGCTCACATTTAGGCATAGACATAGACATAGGCTTTTCAAATCTAACCTGTAGGACTGCTTGTCTTCATCATTGGCTCACTGTCGTTTTGCAAATAATAAAGTATTTTTTGTACATTTATGCATATGCTGCATCCTAAACTGCTCCATTCAGTACATAGAGGAATCCACATGTGAATATAAATTAGCTAATTCAATCCCAGCTGTATACACCAGGGTTATTATCGTTAACCAAAACTAAAACCATAAAAACATATTTAAAATACCGTATTGGCCCGAATATAAGACGACCCTGATTATAAGACGATCCCCCCTTTTTCCAGATGTAGCTTTTGGAAAAAGGCTTTTTAAAAACCAAATCTTGTTTTTTCTCAGTAAAACACATTTTGTCTTCAATTATTTTCATATTGCCTATTTTAATTTTTGTTTTGAAAGTATGGTAAAAACTGGTCAAATGTACCAACAATCACATTTAAAAAATATACACTTTTTGATATACCATTAAAAAAAATGGTAGCCCATCTGAATTAGGACATTTAGGCTATCCATCTAATAGTAGCCCACCAAAATATTATTAACAGTAGAAGTTAAATTTTACTGTAGTCTTCAAATCTGGGTACTGTCTTACATTTTAAAATCGCAAAGGGAGTGTGGTCCCATCAGGCTAACGTGACAGTCACGACTCATGCAGCTGTAAGGTTTTCTTTTGTTTTTACTTGCGATCTTTACAACACGCATTACATTATGTATTTCATGGCACACTCGTTTTATGCGTATTTCGCGCCACCTATTGTTGTTGGTGTATTATTGACATTTCAAAGTCTAGACCCTGAATATAAGACGACCGCGTTTTTTCAGATGTATTTCCAAGAAAAAAAACATAGTCTTATATTCGGGTCAATACGGTAAACCCTTTAAAAACATTTTTTTAAATGCATTTATTTATTACGATTTTGTTTTAGCTTGTTGGCAACACAACATTTCTCATTTTCTTTTAGTTTAAGTTGAAGTACTAAAATGGCTAACACTAAAACCTAAAATTGTATAAAAATTATATAGAAAGTTAAAATGACAAAAACACCAAGGCAAAATTACTAAAACGTTAATGTTTTATTATTATAATGAAATATTATAATGATATTAAATATTATTATAATGAATGAGTTATAATAAAAAAAAATTCATAAGTATTAAAAACGTTAATATTATATCAATGATTAGGTTTTGGTGTAATACTATTTTTAGTAAAGTAATTTGTTAAAGTAATTTAATTACTTTTCCCTTGAAAAAGTAAAGCCAGGGATTACTCCTATTTTTTTCTGTAGTTTAATTAGTTATTTCTGATGTAATTGCATTAAATACTGTATAGAATATAGAACAATTCTTTATAAAACAATAGTGAATTTAACATCAAAATTTGACATCTGATGTTAAAATGCATGTTTTAATGTAACCATCTCCCTTTAAATACTTTGGTCTGTTCAAGAATAATTTATGCAGTTTTATATTGTTTCTTTGAAAGAATTATAAGTGCAGTTTCATGTCTATCTTTGTATTGTTCAACTGGTCGAGGTTGATACGGGATTTAAAAAGTAATTAGTGATCTTTGTTGACATGGTTTTATTCCTAAATGCTATTTAGGCCTGAGGTTAACAATGGTTAAATGATTTGTTTTGAACTGACTGAATTATCTCGTATCAACAGAGCATGAAGAAATACATTTGTATCTAACTCACTAATGTAGTGTGTTTTCATGTTGTAGGTAACATTCCTCCCGGTGTGAACCCTGAGGCTTACCAGTGGTTTTGTTCTGTGGATTCAGATCATAGTGGCTACATTAACGCAAAAGAACTGAAGCAAGCACTCATGAATTCCAACAACACCTCTTTCAATGACGAAACCTGCATGATGATGCTCAGTGAGTGTTGCCATTGTTAACATAACCACTCTGATAGCTGTTAAATTACTGAATGGATGCTTATATCACTATAGAACTAAATAACAGAATGCTACAATGTCAAATAAACAATACAACAATAGAGGTCATCTGATGACATCTCCTGTGCCAAAGGAAATTGAAGCAAGAATCAGTGCTTTGTTTCATTTTCAGATATGTTTGACAAGACCAATACCGGACGTGTAGATGTATTTGGTTTCTCTGCACTGTGGACGTTTCTGCAGCAGTGGAGGGCAGTATTCCAACAGTTCGACCGCGACCGATCCGGATCAATTAACAGCAATGAGATGCACCAGGGTGAGTAAATTACAGGTCAGGAGAGAGACCCAAGATAACATGTTTGCAGTAAAGACCACATGTTCACGCTATGTCAACAGTCACCGTCACTAAGGACAGATTCCAGCGTTCCCTGGTAAAATTTACTGGCCATAAATACCAGTCAATAAATTGTATTTTGCATTTTATGTAATTACTATATTTTACAATGTATATAAAATATTAAAGTAGTGCTACTTTTTATATGTATGTATGTATGTATGTATGTATGTATGTATGTGTGTTAACATAATGTCATTCTCATTTCATTCCTGCTGCCTTATAAAAACAACATAAAATTGTACCTTTGGCTTCTTGAAAGCAAGTGTCTGTATGTTATCCTTGAATTTGTCGCTGTGTAACGTAGTAATGATAATAGCTACATAGTCAGCTTGTCAATGCTAAATAACTTTCTAGAACTTGGACAGATTTTTTCAGGTATATGCAACCATGTGGCCAGTGATCTGGACTGCCATGCGCACTTATGCGCCCTATGTGACCTTCCCAGTGGCCTTTGTGGTGGGAGCTGTTGGATACCACCTTGAGTGGTTTATCCGGGGAACTCCTAATGCCCCAGGAGAAGAGAGGGGCATTGCGGAGCAACGGGAGGATAGGAAATTAGAGGAACTGACCGGTCAGGACAGCACACAGGTCGTCAGCCTGAAGGACAAACTGGAATTCACACCAAGGGCAGTGCTGGAAAGAAACCGATCAGAGAAGAGCTAAGTTTGATTAAATGTCACGAAGTCCTGCAAGATTACCTTATAATGAAGTGCAACATCTCAAGCTTTGGGCTCATTTGTCACACTCAACGGCCCCAGGGACAGACACTTTATCAGATTTTTTTTTGTGGGGGATTTCATGTCGATTCCTATGCCACTTCATTAAGCCATCCTAATTATATGGAGTCTTGCTGTAATATTTACCAGGCCAGCTTGTGGAACTTGCCTGCTGAGAGAATTTTTTTTACAACTTTCGTTCTTTGAGATTTCTTACTATTCATCTTCTGCCCTGAGGCATGCAGACACATGATTATATTGCACAAGTCCTAACTTGGAAAGCTTTAATAAGTTTGCCATTCGTGCGCCCTGTCATATGCTTATGAGACTGAAGCTCAAAGAAAGACCACCTTTGTTAAGTTTTGTGTCTGCATGAATAAAAGTGCATCTGTGCAAGGCAACACTTGAGTGGGACTAGAAAATGTTTAAGGCGTTTGAACTTTGAGTGGCTGAAGTGATTCAGAACACTGAGAAATTCATACAAGCTCTGTCATTGTTGTCCTTTGCTAATTAGTGATAATGAACAAGTTCTTCCTCAGTGTCTTTTTGGTTCATGTAAGAACTCTGCACACACTTTGAATATGTCGACCAGAAGGTTTAGCTTGTATTTCAAACCAATTATCTGTGGTTTTGAGTCAATTTGCATGTACAGTACAGTGAACTACCTATGTAGTGCTTTCCTAAGCATTATTATGGCTAAAATATCAGTGATAATTGCACAGCTGAATTTTGTGCTGAAGTGTGTGGGAGACTGCCTTGTGTTCATATAATAAATGTAAAGACAGTTGAATTGTGGTACTGTGTTTGTCAGATGTTCTTTACGTCTAGTGTGAATTTTGCACGTTGCACAACAATGCCAGAAATCATAAATAGGGCTGGGTGTCAATATAGATTTCATGATTGTGTTCAAGTTGTTTTCACTATCTCTTGATTCTTTTCTATTTGAATTTTAATCAATGACAGTAGGTATGTTTCTACTGTAATGTCCATGTTGCTAATATGTGGGGGGAAAATGGTTTCAAACTCATTCAAACCAGTAACTTCTCTTTTTAAACTATTAATTAAAATGAACGACTTGACTTTTTTTTGTGGATTGGGATGCAGTGGTCATGTTGTCCAATATGTTTCTGATATAACCGACTCATAATAGTTCTTTATTTATGAAGCAATTGAAACTAATCATGCTAAATGATTTTGAATACCTACTGCCGAATTGGCCATTCTAAGATGACCCACAAGTTTTTTTTGTTTTGTTGTTGTTGTTGTTCCTTTTTTTAGCAGAAATATATATATATATATATTAATTAAAGGTAAATTACATCAGATTTAATATATATGTAATATAAAATCTGATGTAATTTACCTTTAATATTTCTTACCTTGAAAATAGTCTCAGAAGCTGTCATTGTGTTCAAAAAATATCAAATTAAGTATTATTTTAATTAAGATTGTGAATAATCAGAAAATATTTGTATCCAGCCCCAATCAGTAATTACATTCACTTTTAGATTCATGATGTATAATCAGATCAGTAATTTCATTATTTAAAGTGAAGTGTGTAATTGCTGCATAGATGTTTGTTAAGATTAAAATAAATAAATAACTTGAAGTAATGCATTTACATTGACTTCTATCATTTTGTAGGAGATCTGTATGGTCTGTTTTCTATAATGCACATTCTTTTTCTTTCAGCACGCAACTTGATTAATAGAAACCAGAAGAGCAAGACTTTACAAATCCCCAGAGTGTACTTAATAGAGGTCACCCTAACATTTTCCAGCATAAGTTGTGCTTCATTGCTGCCAACAAGCTAGTGAAGCTTTTATGAGTGCTGATTTGCATCAGCAAAGTGCATAAATGCTGATACCAGGCACCATCGGCTTGTCTGCCCAAAACTTTTCAATAAAATGTTATATTTGAAACAATATTTCAGATGAACTCGGTGAATGGCTTCAAGTCGGCCCTAAAACATTTACATCACTTTAAACTCAATGTAAGTTTTAACTTAAATTTAACTGATTCTTCCCATGTTTTTGTCAATGCTGATTTAAGGGGAAAATGTGTTTAATGTCACTTCAGTGGTTTTCAACCTTTATGATTTTGGCCCCACAACAAAGGCCCCATTATATTTTCCTGTTTGTGTTAAAGGGGTCATATGATGCGATTTCAAGTTGTCCTTTCTCTTTGGAGTGTTACAAGCTGATTGTGCATAGATAAGATCCCTGAAGTTGCAAAGACTAAAGTCTCAAAACCAAAGAGATATTCTTTATCAAAGTTAAGACTCTGTCACGCCCCCCTAAAACGTCTCGTTTTAACACGCCCCCACATATCTACCTCACTATGTGGAAATATTAGCATAATGCGCCCAAATGTTCACGCAAAGAAAGAAGGCGTGGTTTCAGTAACCGCAGTTAGTGTTGAAGCAGCATGTCAGGGAGACGCTGTGTGTTTCTAGGCGAAAGCAAAATCACTTTATTTGGCCTTCCGAAAGTAGATGCATTTAGGAATCTTTACGATTACTTACAACAGAACAGCAATGCATTTTATGGACGACCGTTTCGTGAACCTAGGAGAGGAGGTAATTCTGACTTTGCAATGACAATCTGGCGCTTCTGAATCAGCTACTGTTTTGTTATTAGTTTAAGTATTTGCTATTGACTGTTCAAATGCGGAGTTTTGCGCATTGTGTGTGTGTGCGCACGCGTGTGTGTTTGTGTGAGAGAGAGAGGGTCATATCACAGTGGAGTCAGCTGTCTTAACCGCGGCTTGTGTACTGCATCATTACTGTGTCTTTATAAAAAACATTTTATTCACAGTTTCTTCCCAATATTTTAGACTTTAGCATAACTAGAAACATTTTCATTTATTTATTTATTTAAAATTATTTACACCATTTGTAACTACATCACACTTCATCATGCAATTTGACATAATACTACCACTATTTTACACAGAACATTAAAAAAAATGTAGATTCAAAAATGCACACAATGTTCAAAGCTCCACAAAGATTTTACTGTTCCAGTTCTAGAAATCACACTTTTAAAATCAGGATATATTATCATACAGGTTTTTACAGTTGAAAAATTTGTTGTTTTGACTTATTTAAAATCATTTTAAGTCATCTTGAGGTCTCCTTGGACGTTTTCTGAGGCCCCTTAGTGGGCCCCAGACCCCTAGTTGAGAATCTGTCACATACTGTATGTCCTATTTAGCAGATATTTTGACAAAAACATTAAAAATGTGAAAGTTAAGTGAGCTATAATTGGATAAAATAGCTATAATCTAGAGAGGACTGTTTGAGTGATTCTGTTCAGAAATAAGGATTCGTTTTTCTTTGGCCAATGAAAGCAATCATTGTGATTGCTCAGACTGCGTTTGAAACTTTCTCTCTGAGGTTAATTTATTATTATTATTATTATGCAGCCTTACGAGAATGTCATGCCTGCTTATGGGTCAGATGACCTGCTGTATTTGTACGAGTACTCCTATTCCTGTGTCCAGTTGTGTGAGAGAGGATGTGGTGTCTGGATTGTTTGTGCCTAAACAGGTAGGAGACCGTGGGTTTTGTGCTGGAAAGGTGCTAGTATGTCCCAGAGGACAAACAGCCCTATTGTTCCTGAGTGATAGGAAGAAGGAACGACGCCTGCCGGCCTCTCTCAGCCCCTCAGTCAGGATGTCTACAGCCTCTCTGCACAATTACAGCATAATTATTCACTATAGATTCCCATCAGCGACAGAAACAATGGAGGGACACTCAAAATCCTCGCCTTTCCCATGAGCTCAGCTGTTCAGTTCCCACAACCATTTCTTCTGTCCCTCTTTGAATCTTTTTAGATGGTTAGAAAACTGACTTCCATTTCCCTAGGGTCTTATCAATACCCCATTGTCCCATTCCAATTGTGTGTCCTACCACTTATTTTGGCACAAAAAAAAGAAGTTATTATGGTTCCTGATTATTATATTCAAAAATAATCATGAAGTTCAAATATTGATTATGAATACTATCTCTTACGGTTATGGTGGAATTCATCACAATAATATAATTAGTTTTTTGAAGGTTTGAAAAATATACCACAAGTGCCTGATTATTTTTGAGCACAAGGTATTGTTTTTCATTACATTTAGTATTATTGTTTTTTATTTAAAAAAAAAATCTCATCCAGGAGATATTATGATTCCTGATTATTATTGGCAAGAAATAATCATGAAGTTAAAATATTCATTATTAATACTGATACTTACATTTGTGGTGGAATTTGTCACAATAATGCCAATTATGGAAAGAAAACCTGCCACAAATCCCTGATATTTTTAGCATTAGGCATTGTTTGTCATCAGTTTCATTATTGCTTAAAGCTTGAAACCTTAGTAATGGTTTATAGTTGGGTTATTATTTTATCAATGACTCATGTCTGTCTTGTATGACTGTGTACTATCTGATCAGCTCCTTATCTAGATAAAGAAGCAATGCACTCTGACTCATCTGTTTCTCTCTTTGAAATAAGCTGTTCATATGGTGATGTAATGGGTAAAAAATGAAAATCTCATCGACTTAAACTGCAAACCCAAGCCATATACTGTATAGTGTATACTGTACAGAATAGCATAGAGACTGGTGGAGAGCTGCTTAAAATACCCTAGCAACCATATAGCAATGCACTAAAACTCATCAAAAACACCTTGGTAATTATATAGCAACACTCTGGCAATATGTTGTATTGGCAGTTGTGTATAGGTAAGTACCATTCCTATTGTATAGATTATAGAAACATCTTTCATTGACAAATCATTTCATGTTGTATTGTACTTGCACGCAGTTCACAGTTTGAAGAGCTGATGACATCCTGGAACTGCTGCAGGTGGGATTTTACCAAAAAAACAATGTAACAATGCCCACCGTTTTTCCATTGTAAGGTTGAACAAGCCTGAACAGCCAGTGCCTGGAGTGACCAATGGAAAAATCAGGGAGCAGATACAAGTAACAAGCCTATTTCCTCCAGGTTGTTTAAATTAAGGATCCAGTTATCCATAATTTTTTTTGGCTACCTGATAGCTAGACATTTGTTCTATGAACTAAGATACTTCAGTTTTAATGGTTGTGACATTACACAAATACTTAGACATTTTCAACATATCTTCCAAAGAAAGAATGCCGTACAGGTTTGGAACAACATGAAGATAAACAAACGTTATCAGAATTAAAATGTTTGAACATTAGTTTAGAAACTTGAGATCATTAGTGTGATTTTCTCAGTTTTTAGGCCTCTGTTTTACTTTTGTGGATTTTTTGACTTCTTGTTATGGCTATCACTGAGAAGACATGGTTTTTAATCAGTTCAGCTGGCAGGAAATACATGTGTCCGTTTTGTACTGCATACATTGGCATATTTGCCTGATACTGCGGCCTTTAGACCCCCTACAGAAAGAAGTTTGGCACTCAGGCTTAAGTCCCCATGGGAAGCAGATTGACTGGCCACTCGAAGCCACGTCTCATCCAGAAAACACCCACACATGTCCAAGCCCAGCACATACTGCAGCTTCTAAGGTACATAGTTCATAGAGTGCTTTAAAACCTGTTTGTTTTTTTCTGTCTGAGGCTGGTAAGCAGGGAAAGGGAAATGCATCAGCGTTTGGAACAACAATATCAGGATGCAGGGAGCGACCCACAAGAGGTGGCAGCTCATTTTAATTGGTGCTACTCTGTACAAATCACCTAAGGGCATGCGGGCAGGCAGTGTCCCTGCTGGGTTTCACAAATAGAATGACCTTTGTGACTGTATTCAGCAACGTAACCTCATAATAGCTTGAAGAGAGCAGGCATCCATGACTTGGGTTTTTTTCGTATCTAAAATGACAGACATCTGTTTGGCTTGTTAAAACAACTTTGCTGGTCTGTTTGATGCACGTGTGGGCATATTAAAGCACAGCTGGCACGGTTCAGCTTTTGTAGGTGGTAGGCGGAAGAAAAACAAAAGGAAACACTGCAGAACAAGGGCTTTTTTCCAACCTAAACGGCTCTATCAAATGGAGAGAGTTTGACAGTCTACCAGTCTCTCGTTCACTCTTTCTCTTTGGCAGCTGAGGGGAACTAAAGAGGTCAGTCCTCACCAGCTGTTTGCTGACCCACACATCTTGGCAAGAGGTGGCAGCTCATTTTAATTGGTGCTACTCTGTGCAAATCACCTAAGGGCATGCGGGCAGGCAGTGTCCCTGCTGGGTTTCACAAATAGAATGACCTTTGTGACTGTATTCGGCAACGTAACCTCA